CCCGAAATCATCTCAAGATAACCTCAAGATAAGAAGATACTCATTCAGCGTGACAGCAAACTGAGGCAGTAAACTCAGGGGAGGTAAACTCCATCCAACTGCTGATGTTGAAAGGCGTTGGCCTTAATAGCCTGACAGCAGTGTCTATCTTTAGATTATTCATGGGTGAAATATTTCATTCTCTTGGTCAGTAAGTCAGTAAGCTGGTTGGTCAGTAAGTCAGTAAGCTGGTTGGTCAGTAAGTACCAACCAAGTTTGGTGTTGGACCCATCAACCTCTGGAGGGTTATTAAGACCACCACAATACCTTACTGACCAACCAGCAAGTTTGGTGTTGGACTTAAGGCCTATCAACCTCTGGAGGGTTATTAAGACCACCACAATACCTTACTGACCAACCAGCAAGTTTGGTGTTGGACTTAAGGCCTATCAACCTCTGGAGGGTTATTAAGACCACCACAATACCTTACTGACCAACCAGCAAGTTTGGTGTTGGACTTAAGGCCTATCAACCTCTGGAGGGTTATTAAGACCACCACAATACCTTACTGACCAACCAGCAAGTTTGGTGTTGGACTTAAGGCCTGTCAACCTCTGGAGGGTTATTAAGACCACCACAATACCTTACTGACCAACCAGCAAGTTTGGTGTTGGGCTTAAGACCTATCAACCTCTGGAGGGTTATTAAGACCACAGCAGCAAGTATACTTTCGTCCTGAGTATAATACACGGCTAAAGTAAACTCAGAGAATATACACCGTTAGGTGGCATATTAATTTAAGTGTATATATGCATGATAAGTACTTTATATTTCACGGTATATACATATGTAGTACCTAATAGCCAGAACGCACTTCTTGGCCTAGTATGCCAGGCCTGACTTGCCTAATAGACTGAATGAATTTCGTTATTTTAAAATATTTATTTCCAAATTACTTTGTTCCAATTAAAATGTTTATATTATATTAAGAACATAAATTAACTAAGTTAGGTTAGGACTAGTTAGGTTAGGTTAGGATTAGTTAGGTTAGGATTAGTTAAGTTAGGTATGATTAAATTTCTATGTTAGTTTTAAATCAAATTAAACAATATATTCAATTTACATATAATGTAATGGAAAGTTTTATGATTACATAAGAAAAATTGTTGAAAAATATATTTAAGGATAATTCGGTTTGTTATGCAACTTGGGATTATAGGCATAACTTGTATATACTCATGACGATGGTAATATGCTGCCCATACAAGAGGTTATACATCGTCCTGAATGAATGCTTGTTCAGGTTTCTAGAGGCAACCCCTGACTTGACTTGTATGAGTGTGGATTATATTTATTTATAATAATAATTATGAGAAAATGACACCCCGTCCTCATAAACAAAAGCCAAAGACCATTCCATGCACCCGCCAAACCCGCTGTTTATGAATGAAAAACGGTTTACACACGACTCACAACTGATGACGTTCGAACATATCCGGAACAAGTGCTTCGCTGACGGCCCTTGTTCGAACCACAACGCTGTAAATGCTTCACCCACGTACTACAAATACAAATAATCGCCAACAGAACCTAAACACCTAACCTAACCTAACCTATGACTATTTATACACAATATGCTAATATATTATAATATTAGTTTATATTTGAGAAATTTCCCGTTTTGAATAAACAGCATGTAAAAATTTATGAATGCGTCTGTAGGGTCGACCGCTGGATGGAATGGACTTAAGTCGAGGACGGGTTGCAACACAACGTGGTCAAAAGCAATTCAACCAGGGATTAAACTGAATCCTCTATGGTTCCTGAGGCTTACAATGAAGCCTAACCAGAGCTTCACACAACGCCCACATGAATTCTACCTCCTACACTTCCTTTAATAATAATTATAATAATAATAATTTGATTTAAATCCCCGTGGCGCAGCGAGCGATTTGGCCTGGGTTCGTTCCTGGCCTGGGAGGATTGACTAGGCGCCAGTCCTTAACTGCAACCTCCATTCACCCAGTAATGAACCGGTTGCTAAGCGATTTGGCGGGTCGTATTCTGGGGAAAAATTAGGATTAAGTGCCTGAAACGCTATGCATGCTTGTGGCTGTACAAGAATGTAAGAACTCTTGTGTATATAAATAAAAACATGCATCTCTCCCCCCTCCAAACAAGTCAGCACAAATTTAGACTGCTATAGCAGCAGCAGTTTACAGCCAAAACATCTCTGGAATACATATACTTAGCACCAGATTAGAAAGTCAGATCAAAATGGGGGATCGGATATCCTTGGCATATTTGTCCCTTAAACTAATCAGTCCAAGTTAGACATTCGTGAACTCAATTGCGGAGTATACGAGAAGCTTAACTAATCACCTGTTGTATTTACAGGGAATGAACCGCGGCTCTTGGGTCCCGCCTCTCGACCCTTAATCGACTGGGGTATATATGCTCCAAACCGTTCTGAACTGTCACATACAAAAAAAGCTGTGTATGGAGTATGCGTTCCAGGCAACGCTGGAATCTGCATCAGCATTCTATCACCTCTCACACCTCGAGGGTAAACAAAGTAAACAGGATTTACAAGGTAAAAGGAAGTGACGCAGCGGCATGTCCGGTAACAGGATCAAATTCAGCCCGCCCCTCCCCCACGTGGTGTGAGGCAACCCCTCTGACGTCACCGTGCTAACCTCCTCACCACACACATTCCACACGTGGATCTATCCGCTGATACAGGTTTAAAGCTGGCTGTAAAGCATGCGTGTACATGACACTTGGAAATTGGACGGCGAGCAGAATAAAAATCGAAACTATGTCATGAAGATGGAAACAGCTTAAAAACTGGCATTTAACAGTGGAGTGAATGGCGGGCGGTGTAGGTAAGAGGTACCTTCCATAAAGGCGCCCGGAAGCCTTATACTCGCAGGTAAATTCCCGCTTCTCCGTATGTATTATATAATATATATATATATATATATATATATATATATATATATATATATATATATATATATATATATATATATATATATATATATATATATATATATATATATATTGCCTGTTTACCTATATTCCTGGATTTTATTCAGCACTAAAGAAAACTTGAGTTTACTTTTTTTGCTGCTTGGTGAGTAAGCTATCGTGGTGGCCTGAATTCTAAATAACCCTGCAGGGGATAGTATATAAGCCTTAACCCCACCCGATTCAGAAACTCTTAATAACAACTTATAAAAATGGTCACGATAAAGGGTTGTGGCTCAGCATGCCACAAGGGCAGCCACTGCTGGTGTGACCATACGAAGACTGGGTGTGGCTACTCTCTCCTCTATATCTTACGGGCTCACCATAGCCCGTGCTGCTTGGAACTTTTTGTTCCAAGTAGCGAATCTTAAACAACAACTCTATATGCTTACTTCCACCAACATCAGTCATTATTAAAACTATATGTAACTACCCCATCACTAATGTAAATTACTTAGCGTGGAGATTTGTTTGCATGGATAGCCCAGCGCGGGTCCTAAGCCTCTGACTGGCCCACTAAGTGTTGCTGAAGACTGATGACATATGCACTAAACTGTGTAACTTAGCTTATTAAAACTGAATCAATGATTTTTGGGGTTCAGTTCCTGAGCCCATTATATGCCTGCTTGATACCCTCTGTAACCTTTTCCACTACCGCTCACAGGATGGGTATGGGGGGTCCACTACCATTCACAGGATGGGTATGGGGGGGGTCCACTACCACTCACAGGATGGGTATGGGGGTCCACTAGCACTCACAGGATGCGCATGGGGTCCATTACCACCTACAGGATGGGTATAAGGGAAGTCCACTAACACTCCCAGGATGGGTATGGGGTCCACTACCACTCACAGGATGGGTATGGGGGTCCACTACCACTCACAGGATGGGTATGGGGGTCCACTACCACTCACAGGATGGGTATGGGGGTCCACTACCACTCACAGGATGGGTATGGGGGTCCACTACCACTCACAGGATGGGTATGGGGGTCCACTACCACAAACAGGATGGGTATAACATCCACTACCACTCACAGGTTCTACCACCACTCACAGGATGGCCCACTACCAATCCCAGGATAAGTATGGGGATCCACTACCACTCACAGAGAAGGTATGGGGCGCAAAATAAAATAGTTCTACTAACCACGCCTATCAAGAGACTCTTGATAATACTCTTATGTGCTAAAATATGCTAACCAGTTTATCCAAGCTTTCCTCAATTGCTCAATAGGCTATAGAAAGATAACACTTATCTCACACTATACTCACCCACTGATAACGATTATACTATCATAGTGACCTACTATACACAAGAACTATGTATATCAGCAAATACAATTCGTCTCATCCTTTAATAATCATATTTACTAGCAGTAATGCATATGAATACTAGCAGTAATGCAATAGTATGAATACTAGTAGTAATGCAATAGTATGAATACTAGTAGTAATGCAATAACGTATGCCAGCTGACAGGTAGGCCTAGTAATACAATAGTAGGCTATGCCATCTGATAGGTAGGCCTAGTAATACAATAGTAGGCTATGCTATCTGGCAGGTAGGCCTAGTAATACAATAGTAGGCTATGCCAGCTGGCAGGTAGGCCTAATAATACAATAATAGGTTATGCCATCTGACAGGTAGGCCTAGTAATACAATAGTAGGCTATGCCAGCTGACAGGTACGTCTAGTAATACAATAGTAGGCTATGCCATCTCATAATGCTAATATATATCGAAATGTATTTTGCATTACCCGAATTTGCTAATATTTTACAGAACTTGCGGCTTGTAAATGGAGCTAATGAACATATCAGAGCTTCAAGTTATCGTAAACTATTATATATAATAGAAGTCTGACCAAATATTTATATATATACACTAGGAAAATGTATATTTAGCAAGCTAGGCTACCTAAGCAATAGACATCAAATAATTTCCACGACTAAAGATGTGGCCATTCACAAGAGGGAAAATTGTCCTTACCTTATTCAGCAGAGACTTGCCATGGGAGAGGTTGTCATGGGAGAGGTAGCCATGGGAGAGGAGCAGTGACACACACACACCAGGGGAGGGGTACAGTCTCCACACAATGATAACTAGGCACTTAGACACATGTCAACACAAGTCAACACCAACAATCGTCTTGACACTTGGAGGGTGTGTGAGTGTGTTTACACCGGACGGCATTGCCTCACACTTGACAAAACCACATCAACACACACAACGTAACTAACTCCTTTTTCAACTCACTAAAATCTGGAACCAAGTGTGGTGGTGAGCATGGAACCAAAGCGTGTATACAATAAGGGGGAGAGAAGAGGTGGGTTGAGGGGGGGATTAGTGGGGGAGGGGAAATGAAGAGGGGGTCGTATAAGAGGGTGTTGCGCTGACAACCGCCGTAGCAGACTACGGCCCAAACATGGTAGCCGCGTTCTCTCTCCCACCTACACCCTGACTCCTCCCACCTACACCCTCACTCCTCCCACCTATACACCCAGACTCCTCCCACCACCCTCCTCTACCCACCCACCTACCAATACACCCTTGCTCCACATATGGTGTATCAGAGGGTTATTTTGTCCAGGCGACTGACATTGGACACTAGTTCAAATATTGGTGTCAGGCGCAGTCCGGCATTGCTTGGCTCGCCTTGTGAATCCTGATGGAACTATTATTGGAATAAACAACACTTTAATGTGTTCAAATTACTTCCTTATGACAAGTTATTTTGCGTTTAAAATGTAGAGCATATAGTATACATATTAGGTAATAATAATAATAACTGGTACAGTATATTATATGTCCGTAGGAAACACAATAGAATCTCTAAAATCAAAATATTTAATGACGGTCAAACTTTTTATAGTAATTCACAAAATAATTCATCGTGTCGGGGACAGGCCCCCAGTGTATATATACACTGGGGGCCTGTATATATACACTGGGTGCAAAGGCATACGGCGAATATATACGAAGTTAGAAGTTAGGGAAGACATGATCACTACCTACAAAATTATCAGAGGATTCACAGGGTAGATAAACAAACAGTTTAACACGGGTGAGGGTGCGCGAACAAGGGGACACAGGTGGAAACTGAGTACCCATCACTACTCATCGATCTCATTTGTTGACAAATGAGCCACAGAGACGTTAGAAAGAACTTTTTCAGTGTCAGATTAGTTAACAGATGGAATGCATTAGGCAGTAATGTGGTGGAGGCTGACTCCATACAGCTGACTGACTCTTTATCACTCCCAGTAGTGCAGTGGTAAGACACTCGCCTGGCGTTCCGCGAGCGCTTAGTCATGGGTTCGTATCCTGGCCGGGGAGGATTTACTGGGCGCAAATCCTTAATTGTAGCCTGTTTTACTCAACAGTAAAATGTGTACTTGGTTGTAACAACGATTCTTCGCGGGGGGTGGAATCGTATTCCAGGGACCTGCCCGAAACGCTACGCGTACTAGTGGCTGTACAAGAATGTAACAACTCTTGTATTTATCTCAAAAAAAAAAAAAATACAGTTTCAAATGTAGATATGATAGAGCCCAGTAGGCTCAGGAATCTGTACAACAGTTGAGAGGCGGGACCAAAGAGCCAGAGCTCAATCCCCACAAGCACAACTAGGTGAGTACACGTTAGGCTTATATCGAGGTCTGCCCCATCACAAGGTTTAATTATCTATCCCCCCCCCGCAAAATGCAACCTCCCAACACGCTAACTCCTGGGTATTTATTTTCTGCGGGAGCCGGTCGGCCGAGCGGACAGCACGCTGCACTTGTGATCCTGGGTTCGATCCCGGGTGCGGGCGAGAAACAATGGGCAGAGTTTCTTTCACCCTATGCCCCTGTTACCTAGCAGTAAAATAGGTACCTGGGTGTTAGTCAGCTGTCACGGGCTGCTTCCTGGGGCCCTGGTCGAGGACTGGGCCGCGGGGACACTAAAACCCCGAAATCATCTCAAGATAACCTCAAGATAGGTGAACAGGGATTCGAACCCGGCGTTTCCGACTGCGAGTCGAGAAGAAACCTAACTGTACTGCTAGGACCTTATCTTCAAATCATTAATATAGGCAATTATATAGTCAGACTAATTATAAATAGCTAAAATATATGTATTTTTACCAAAACAACAAATATTCTACAGCCCGTCCTCCAAAAATGGGGAGGTAAATGTAATAGCACAAGTAAGTGCAATTATGTATTATTAATAGCAGTCAGGAATTGTACTTATTTTCACTTAGTATTAAACCGTAGTCAAATATATTGTGAATATTTGAGTTTACCTGAAAAGCTGAGTAGAAAACCACAACCTAACCTAACCTCCTTAGTGTTTGAAGAAAAGCATTTTATTGCTTCTTAATTACAATTAGTACTTAACCTATGGCTATACTGATATTACAGTTTTATAAAACTAATAAAACAAAACTAAAATATATCAATAAATTTTAAAGTAACTCAGGATATTTTCATATTTTGTAAAATCTCTATTGTTTAATAAAATTGAAAAAGAAATTCTTGATATTTAAAACGTGTGTATAGCAAACTTGTTTTTTTTTTTTTTTTTTAATACCTCCCCATTAATCAATCCCAAAGTGGTTAGGCCACTTACATGTAACACCCTAATCCTTTTCAAGTTTTCCTACATACGCCCACATCCTTCTCTTCCCGATTTCCCAGTCCTATGGTCTTGAAACTGCGAAAACTGTGAACTTAACTTGAAAAATTTATGCTAAAATTCTGAGTGTCTTAACAGAAAAGGAGGAGAATAAATGGGGAGGTAAATGTAACAGCCCCATAAGTGCAATTATGCACTATGCATGACAGTAAGGAAATGTACTTAATACACTTAGTATTAAACCGTACTGTCAATTCGGAGTATTAAACCGTACTGTCAATTCGGAGTATTAAACCGTACTGTCAATTCGGAGTATTAAATCGTACTGTCAATTCGGGGGATGGGTTGTTATTCTAATACCAGATGACAAATTCTGCAATATAATGCCCGCTGCATCCTCATTTCCTGCCCTGCATCGGAGGCGTTTGAAGAAATCTATATACACTACAACCTCTAGGGAACAAATTTCCTCTTATTGTCCACATTTTGTAACCAGTCAGCTTTATATCTGTATAACCTTGTATAATAAAGTGTACAGCATTAATAACAAAAAAGGGGTGGAAGGAGAAGCGAGCACTCTTACGTATTTACAGTCAAACGGCGAGTTTTTCTCTGAATGTTCTTTATTCTCTTCTCCGAGGCTATGGCGTCCCTGCAATTGCACCAGAGGCGATATCTCAATAACAAAAATTTATATATATATATATATATATATATATACATATATATATATATATATATATATACATATATATATTAGTATATTTTGGTAGGCATAGATGACGTTGGTTTCCTTCAAGGCGTTTTGTTTGGTGTCTGGGGAGTTTTTCATGAGTTGGTTGGCCGTTTTTTTGTTTTTGTAGTAAATTGTCAATTGTATTTTCTGATTTTTGTCTGTAGGGATAACGTTCCTATTAATATCTTTCAGGACACTTTCCTCCGTTTTATGAGCCGTCAAAAAGAAGTTCAGACAAAATCTTCTGATTTTTGTCTGTAGGTACCTTACAGACAAAATTTTTTGTCCCTACAGACAAAAATCAGAAGATACAATTGACAATTTACTACAAAAACAAGAAAACGGCCAACCTACTCATGAAACACTCTCCAGACACCAAACGGAACGCCTTGAAGGAAACCAACTATGCCTTCACATGCCCACTTGGGGATTGTAAGCCCCAAAGAACTCAGTATATTGCCAAGACAACAACGTCTCTTTCTAGGCGATTAACAATGCACAAACAACAGGGCTCCATCAAGTAACATATAATCTCTTCTCACAACCAAACCATCACCAGAGAAATCTTAACAAGCAACACAGAAATCATCGATAAATACAGCGATAGCAGGAGACTCGACATCAGCGAGGCACTACACATCAAAAAGTCAACACCAGCAATCAACAGCCAATTAACGCATAACGATATTCTGCCCACTTCAAGACCCCGAACCAACATAGAAGCAGCAAAACACACCCCAGACACCTGCCCTAAACAACTCGGCCACAATAGTACTACAATCTACAAAGCCGAAACTCAGTAGAATTCCGGGTTGGTCGGCTCTTGTAAACTGCTTTTGAGATGTAAATTGTGTTTCAGTCATACTGTTCCCATTTTACATATATGATGCTGTATGTGAATAATATGGCATAATTGGCAACTAATTAGTTTTTGCATTAACGACAGCGATGTTCAAATGCCATGACCTATTACAGAGCAATGTCTTTCAACCATAACGTGTACTCACCTAATTGTGCTTGCGGGGGTTGAGCTTTGGCTCTTTGGTCCCGCCTCTCAACCGTCAATCAACTGGTGTACAGGTTCCTGAGCCTACTGGGCTCTATCATATCTACACTTGAAACTGTGTATGGAGTCAGCCTCCACCATATCACTGTCTAATGCATTCCACCTGTTAACTACTCTGACACTGAAAAAGTTCCTTCTTACGTCCCTGTGGCTCATGTGGGTACTCAGTTTCCACCTGTGTCCCCCTGTTCGCGTACCACCCGTGTTAGGTGTGATATTACCTGAGTTCAGTCTCAGATCAAGTTAGCATTATTCTTACTGAGGTATATAGCTTGGTGTTGGGTTTAAGGCCTTTCAATTTCTATATGGAAGATTATTATAGTCACAGAGAAAATGAAAAAGACGCTGCCTTTCGATTTGCTCAAATCGTATATTCGAATCGTATATATTTACTGTATACTACGAATAATAGGTCTTTAACCATCTCTGCGGTATCTCCCACAACCCGTCCTCACACTAGGCTGGTTAAAGTAGCAGCAGTCCTCCCCAGACGCATTCATCAATGTTAACATACTGTGTATTAAATATTGGTTTGTTCTCACATATTAATTAATATTATTATACATAAAAATTATATGAATAGTTAGGCTAGCGTGTGTGTGTGTGTGTGTGTGTGTGTGTGTGTGTGTGTGTGTGTGTGTGTGTGTGTGTGTGTGTGTGTGTGTGTGTGTGTGTGTGTGTGTGTGCGCGCGCGCGTAAAGAACAGCACAAAACGTCCACCAGACTGCGACATAGAGGTTGCCAGAAGATGTGTCTACCGTTACCTGTGGCAGGTGACTCACCTGCCACAGGTAACATTCATCACAGGTAATGGATTCGTCACCGAGGTAACGAATCTTCTAATACTGAGCACTCCACGTGTAGATTCTTTGACCAAGAACTTGGTCGTGATCTTTCACCCATCCATAGTTTGTCAAGGCGGGCTACCGATTACATCCCCCTGT